AAAAGATTATAAAAGGTTAAATAGTATTATGTTAACTTCAGATGAATGGGATTTAATTCAGGATTTGATTCCAGTATTAAAACCTTATGCAGAAGCTACAGAACTTCTAGGAGGAAGTAGTTATTGTACCCATTCAATGATGAATCCTATATTAATTAACATCAAAAAGAGGTTTCATCCTTCAACATCACGTGGTGTTGCAGCAGCTGAAAAAATTAATATTAATTTTGGTGATAATGATACAGCATTTTATGAAGATATGGCAATAGAAGAAAATGAACAACTGCAAGCTGTAATAGAGGATAATGAACGACAATTGTTGACTAATAATAAAAGAACTCAGATTAATAATCCTGTTAATTGTTATGGTCTAATTGATCAAATTAAACTCAGTCTTTTCACAGCGATGAATTATTATTGGAATGATCTTACATCACCTGATAAACTTCTTCCCACTTTACTTGACCCAAGAATGAAAGATCTTAGCTTTGTTTCTGATTCAGAACGTTATGCAGCTAAAGATTTGTTGGAAAAGAAATATAAAGAATTAAAGTTTCAAGGTTCAAATGATGATTTATTATTACCTATAAATGTAGATGATAATAGGAAAAAAAACAAAAAAGCATATACTATTTTTGCAGACTTAAAGAAGAAAATTATTCCGGCCGATGATGAGATTGGTAATTATTTACAATTAGAGGAAATTGATTTAGAAGGTGATCCATTTGCATGGTGATATAAGTGAAAAGAAAAGTTTCCAATCTTGACTTGTCTTGCTAAGAAATACTTAGCAGTTTATGCATGTTCAACTGCAAGCGAAAGACTGTTCTCCGATGCTGGCAATATATTAACTGCAAAAAGAGCTAGGACGTGTCCTAATTTTTTCAAAAAGTTAATATTTTTGAAACGAAATGGTAAACACTTAGATTCAATTCATGGTGAATCTAGTCAAGAATCTTAATAACGTTAAAGTCCAAGTCACAAGATAGAAGGGATAATTAATGCCATTCCTAAAAAAAAAATTAAAGAAGGAACGGTCAATACCATTCCTGGAAAGAAAAAGATTAAAAAAAACCCTTCCAATATTACCTAAGGCCATTCTAAGAAGCCCGAGCTGAACCCGCTCCTAAAAAAGGGAAGGAACAGTCAATGCCGTTCCTGTCTCTTATACACATATCATGTGATATTTTTGTATCGTCTTTAACAAGAAAAGATCATACTTTAGGTCATGTGAACTATCTTATAAATGATAATCATTAAATCAAACTTGACGAAATACTTTTAGCCAAAATGAATACCTATACCAATACCTAACGAAACTGAAAGTCCCAATAATGCACCATTACTTAATGATGATGAGACCAACTCTAAGAACAGCAAAAAAAAACTAGCTAGGTTTGGACTTATTGACTTATTGGGATGAAGAGACACAAGAAATAAAAGGTGTAACACGTCAAGTAATTGTCTGTAAAGTTATTGATGCTTCCAATCAAACACCATGTAGAAAAATATACATTAATAGTAGTGGGTCTACTGGTAATGCGATAAATCATTTAAGAAATAAGCATGATATCACTAAAGATGGTAAAAACAATAAGGTTTGTTAAAGATCCAGATAATCAAGTTACAAAGAGTCATAAACATTATTCAGCAAAAAATCAAGAGGAATGCTGGCAATATCTTGTTGATTGGATAGTTGATGATATCCAACTGATTAGCGTTGTTGCAAATCTAAAATTCTGCCAATTGATTAATCAACTAAATCCTACCTTTGTTATGCCTTGTCCAGAAACTGTAAAGGGTATTATTCACAATGCATTTAATTTTTCCTTTTCAAAATTGCAACAAACTATTAGAGTTCAAGCCAAATTGGTATCCTTGACTTTGGATCTTTGGACTGTTAAGAACCGCTAAGGCTTTTTTGGAATTACTTGTTTATTTATTAATAATTCATTTGAATTACACGAATATACTTTGGATATAGCCTACGTAAAGTATCCACATACCTCTCAACATATTCTTGAAACGCTTGAGGAAATATTGAAGGAATGGAAAATTCGTGAATTGGTATTTACTGCAACAACAGATAACAGTTCTAATGTCAAAAAAGCAATTCTAGATATGAAAAATGTCAATTGTCTAAGATGCACAGCTTATATACTACAGTTGGTTGTTGGGAAGGGTATGAAATCCGCAGAGGTATTAATAGCACGTGTAAAATGTCTTATCAATTTTTTTTGCATTCAAAGCAGAGTGAGCGTTTAGAAGATATCCAGAAAAAATTTCCAGATTTGAATAATGATCTTAGAAAGGAATATATTGCAAGTATTTTGTCATAATTTTATTATTTTTTTTTTTAATATTCAAAAAATTATATTAAAATTTTGTATATAATATAGAATCCTGAAAAGATATCTGAATATCTTCATGTTATATCTGATTCACCAACACGATGGAATTCATCATATTTAGCTTGGCAGAGGCTTTTGAAACTTAAAAATCATATTATTATGTTGATTAATACTCTTACTACAAAAAATGATTTAGATTCGAAAAAAGGTTAAATAGTATTATGTTAACTTCAGATGAATGGGATTTAATTCAGGATTTGATTCCAGTATTAAAACCTTATGCAGAAGCCACAGAACTTCTAGGAGGAAGTAGTTATTGTACCCATTCAATGATGAATCCTATATTAATTAACATCAAAAAGAGGTTTCATCCTTCAACATCATGTGGTGTTGCAGCAGCTGAAAAAATTAATATTAATTTTGGTGATAACGATACGGCATTTGATGAAGATATGGCAGTAGAAGAAAATGAATAACTGCAAGCTGGAATAGAGAATAATGAATGACAATTGCTGACTAATAATAAAAGAACTCAGATTAATAATCCTGTTAATTGTTATGGTCTAATTGATCAAATTAAACTCAGTCTTTTCACAGTGATGAATTATTATTGGAATGATCTTACATCACTTGATAAACTTCTTCCCACTTTACTTGATCCAAGAATGAAAGATCTTAGCTTTGTTTCTGATTCAGAACGTTATGCAGCTAAAGATTTGTTGGAAAAGAAATATAAAGAATTAAAGTTTCAAGGTTCAAATGATGATTTATTATTACCTATAAATGTAGATGATAATAGGAAAAAAAACAAAAAAGCATATACTATTTTTGCAGACTTAAAGAAGAAAATTATTCTGGCTGATGATGAGATTGGTTATTTACAATTAGAGGAAATTGATTTAGAAGGTGATCCATTTGCATGGTGATATAAGTGAAAAGAAAAGTTTCCAATCTTGACTTGTCTTGCTAAGAAATACTTAGCAGTTTATGCATGTTCAACTGCAAGCAAAAGACTATTCTCTAATGCTGGCAATATATTAACTGCAAAAAGAACTAGGACGTGTCCTAATTTTTTCAAAAAGTTAATATTTTTAAAACGAAATGGCAAACACTTAAATTCAATTCATGGTGAATCTAGTCAAGAATCTTAATAACGTTAAAGTCCAAGTCACAAGATAGAAGGGATAATTAATGCCATTCCTAAAAAAAAAATTAAAGAAGGAACGGTCAATACCATTCCTGGAAAGAAAAGATTAAAAAAAACCTTCCAATATTACCTAAGGCCATTCTAAGAAGCCTGAGCTGAATCCGCTCCTAAAAAAGGGAAGGAACAGTCAATGCCGTTCCTAGAAAGAAAAAAAATTAAGAAGAAACAAGAAATCCCTCTAATATTTACCTAAATTGTTTCAGTCTAGACAGAATCCATTCCTTTTGAAAAAAAGAAAGGAGGAATGTTATTGTCATTCCTGAAAGGAGAAACATGAAGCATCATCGACACTTACCAAGATCAAGTTGAAAACCCCATTCCTAAAAAAGAAAAGAAAAGAAAAGTTCAAATGTTCTTCCTAAATAACTTTCTTATTATAAGTAAAATGTAGTTGTTCTCTCAGCAAACGGCTTAGTTAGGAGGTTCTGGGTAATTAGGCTTGCAAATCAGGAAAGAAAACAACTACAAAATTCGTGAATAAAATAAAGAATACGGGAAAAGTTCTAATAAAATAATCAAATTTTCATTTTCAGCTCTTAAGTCTTCATTGGTTAAGAGTTTTATGTAGCGATTAGTCTCATTTTTAAAAGGAGCGTTAAAATTAAAATTATATATTTGAAAAAAAATTTTATTTTAAACTTTGATCATAGTAACTAAATTTAGTTAGACGGATCATCCATCAGATCACTCATCGGATGAACTAAATTTATCCATTCAGATTCAGATCACAGTTATTGACGGATGACGGATGATCCACAGATTGGAACACTAATATAGACTTATTTTACCACGCTTCCCTTCAAGAATTAAATCAAAAGATATCAATAAATAATTTATAGATATTTTAATAGAATTTTTTTTTGGATTTCAACCAGAATTCCAGAAATAAATAAATTATAAATTAGAAGTTTTGTATGTAAAACATAATTTAGATTGTATTTTCACCATTATAAATATTAATTTTTCTACATGTTATTTCATTAGGATCAAATAAAAGATTTGCCAATTTTTAAATACTAGTATATCATAAGCAACAGGAAGTTTTTTTACCACCTCCCATAGTTGTTCCTCTAAAAAACAATCTAACCTAATAAGTAATAAACGAATAATAAGTTAATGAAAACATTTATGCAAAATTTTATATCATACCTGATCGTGATTTTTTTTTTCAATGCTACTTGTTGAAAATAATCTAAGCAAAAGTCCTTTTTTCTTTAATCGACACATAAAATAAGGGACATGCATTGTAAGCATATGCATGTAAGGTGTGACATCATCCTTCCTATAAAGTCCCAGAATTGCTGTTGCAGAATTCATTTGGCCAATTTTTTGCATCTTCCTCAAATTTTAAAATTTCTGCTTCAGTGTGAGATGGTTTTCTTAAAACCTCATACAACTGATAAAATTTACACCACAAATTTTTAATATCCACTCCATGTACTCCAGGTATAAATTCACTTACAGGAAAATATTGTAGTATTTTAATGTCATTCATTTTTTTTCAATTTTTTCTTTAAAATTTTGTTCAAAATCATTTTTCTTAAATAGATCTCTAAATAGACATTCCATCAATATATCAGATATCCATAATAAGATATGAAGCTCATCAGAAATATAATTAAGTAAATCAATCACAGGAAACAAAGATGCCCTTTTCCCCCCTAATTAATGTAATTATAATGATTACTTACATATTATTTTTTTTTTACCAATTAACAATTTAGAAAAAAATTTTAACCTTTAGTATTTCCAGTAGGCATCCAAAAAAGATCCATATTATGCCGGGATTTAGCATCACATTCACAGAATAGATAAAAATATTCAGAATTAGGTGCATTTAGACCTAAAATAATATAGGTAAACTTCCAATCACCAGAAAAATAAAATTTAATAGGCCAGTGAATGCCATCATCATCAATTATTCCATTCTCCTTTAAATCAGCCAACTGTAAGGCAAATATTTTGCCAACTTTATCCAATGTCTCATATTTTTCTTTACCTATGTAAAGATATATACTAAAACAGTAATGAATTTTATTTTATTTTTTATTAAAATTACAATTAATTTAACAATACACAAAAAATATACCTATATTGATAGTTTGGTTTAAGTATATCATCCTTTTCATTTAATAAACAAAAAAGTAACCATTACATGATTTTGTTTTCTCCCAACATTACGACCATCTCCACCAAGTTTTATATGAAGAATATCTCCTGGATTATTACAGGATTTTCTCTTCCTTTCCAAACAGGTATTAATATTTTAAGTAAAGTTGAAAGTGACCGATAAGCCCATTTCCTACTTTATAATTATTTACTAAAGCATCACTAGCACGTTCATCAGAATTATATATTATCACTATTAAATTGATCAATATCTTCTATATTAAAAATTTCCACATGTATCTGAGTATTTATTAATTTATTTATCTTATTTCAGTGATCAGCAACTAAATATTCACAAAAAAGTGATGGTACATCTGCTGCTAAATGCCGATATCCATCACGACTTAAAAGTGCTTCATCACACACATGTACAATAGCATCAAGTTTTGTTTGAATTGTTATAGAATTCAAATCTTTGAAGTTGATGCAAACTTGATTCTTTTTGCAATCAAATCCAATATGCTGTAAATATAAAATTGGCTCTCCAGATAAATTTGTCAGCTTATGTTTAACAATCAATTCATCAACTGCTTTTTGCACATCCCTTCCAAAACTGTTAAATCTTTTATTTTGCTGTGAACAGGAAGTGATATCTTCAAGTGGTCTTTTTCAGTTATTAACTTCTGTTGTAACAGCAGTAGCAGGTCAAAACCCAATTTGTAAACAAGCATGATATAGTGGCTCAATATCAAATCCAAATAACTGAGGCCCAGATGATTTAGTTGAGTTAATTTTCTATTAAATATAATATTAAAATTAATTGTATGTTATTAAAATTTATCTAATATAAATATGAGTTAAATACCTGTAAAAATGTATTAACAACAGCTGTTGAAGATTGGGTACTACTAACACTCCACTCTGCATGACCAATCTTCCAATTAATTGTATAGCATACTACCTTTGAAACTGAAATATATTTAGTTTTGCATATAAGACTTCTTTCAGAAAACTCTGTTTCAACTATATAATCGTCGGGTATTGGATATTGAGATGCGTTGTTTTTAGATTTTTGTGTCAATTTCGGTGTGGAAGGATAGGTTCCCAGAGAAATAATATTGTAATATGAAATATATAATCGTTCATTTGATTGAAAATGTGCTTCAATTTTAGAACTTCTTGGATAATCATGTATGAAAACACAATTAGAAAACGTAGCTATTGATAAAAGGGTGTTATTGAACTTTCCTACATTAAAAAAAATTATTGAAAAAAAAATTACTTTCAGCAATGAGAACACGTACGGTTGTTCCAGCCATTTTTATTGTTTTAAAGCAAAAAAGGTTCGTTAAGTGAGTATAATAAATTTTTAATATACTACTTACCATTTTCCAAAATAAAATAGTTCCTTCCAAATAAAACCAATTACAGACCAATTCCTGACAGGTTTCAAAGTTGCGAGAAACTAGTTTCAAGATACCAACAATTGGTTTAAATATGAAATCGTCATGTATGTCATTGTGCATAATCTGTTATTATCACTTTTTTCAGGTTATTTTGATCGGCATGTTGATTATAATTTATATTTATCACTAAAAATTAATTAGTGATAAGAGACAAATCGGCCATATGATTAATCAATCATTTATTAATTGTCATACAAAATATTTAATTTTCGAACTTGGTATTTTTACACTTTAAATTCAACCAATGATTGCAATATAGAAATTTCAAAAAAAAGCTTATCAAATTTGTTAATAGAGTTTTTTACTAATAGAATTCCTCCCTTTAAAATTTCCTCAATATGATTATATTTGAATTTCCTTGGAGTAATATATTTATGACTTTTATTAAATTATGATATTATTACTAACATTGCTGCGATCATCATCTTTCGTTTCATCTTTCATTCCACATTAGAGAAAAATGATTGCAAATCTATTTTAACTTGATCTGGAATTCTTACTCCTTCTGTTTATGTTTTTATAAAAGAATGGATTATTGCATTCCTATTTAACACTAAACATTTATTTAGTGTACCATTTAATGAAAAACAAATACTACCAGGGATTCTAACCCGGTCTTAAGTCTTAACTTTAACTAAAACAGGATTTAGCCCAAGAAATTCTACACCAAACTACTAACCCAATAGATACTAAATATGCCCAAGAGTAGTAATGATGAAAATTTAGCAGCAAATCTAATAAATCTAATCTTAGAATGTGTTACAGTGTTACATGTATATACAATAAATAACAACTAATAGCTCCAAAACTAAATTCGACCCTGCTTTATTATCCCATCTGACGTCACCTTGCTTAGTCCCTGAAATATTTTTACTACTATTACTTGACTATGTAGTTACGCCGGCAAGATGATGCAATTGATTTCCAATTTCATTGGTTCCTCAAAAAATTTTTATTTCCTTCCACCACCATGCTAAACTTGACCTAAAATTCTCAAGAAACCCAAGGTCAAAGAGTAAAAGTTTCTAACAAGCTGATAAAACAAAGGAAAGAGCTTTACTTGCCCAGTAAAAAGTTCTTGTACCAAATATAGGCCAATTATGAAATGAGCCCATTCGGTATAAAATTTGGCCATATTTATTTTAATTTTATCCTATTTATGGTCCAATTTTTCGTACCAAACGGGCTCACGTATAAATTCAATACAAACCTAATATGAATTCAGTACAGGACTTTTTACTGGGTTGTACTATGTGATACCATTTCTGTTCCTTTAAGCCAATTCGTATTGTTGTAAAACAAGTCCTCTAACTTTTACAAGGTCTCAAGCCTCCGTATAGGTTAAAAAAGAAAAAATGTTGTAACAGGTCCAAAAGAATTTTTCCTATTAACTTTGTGTGAATCTAGTCTCAAAATGAATTTAAAGAAGTTAATAATATTTGTCTGGCTCAAGAAATAACTTTACATATGAACTCTTCCGCTTTTTGTTTCATCAGTTTTTCCTAAAATTTATGGACAAGTGATCAGTGGAAAAAGTTCTTTTCAATTAAATATATATTCATTTTAGCATATATAAATGTACTTATACATCAAAATAGAATAAAGTAAGCAGGCTTTGAATTATCAAAAAAAATAACCCAGATATCCTTAATGTAATTCCTATATTAATCAAAATATTTAAATAATATTAAAAATAAAGTCAACAATACAAATTAAATCCAACCAGCTATTGAAATAAGTATAAAAATTTTACATTATTCATTTTCAATTTATGCATTAGAAATGGGTTTATATACCCTATTATTTAATAATTTATAAAAAAAAGATTTATTTAAATTACAAACTAAGAAATTTGTAAAATATTTACTACTCTAGTCCTAGTATTTAAATAGTTCTAAGAAGAGAATCCATATATTTAATATTTGGATAAAATATAAAAAAAGGGAATTATTTAAATTACAAGCTAAGAAATTTGTAAAATAATTACTACTCTAGTCCTAGTGTTTAAATAATTTTAAGAGAATTCATATATTTAATATTTGGATAAAATATAAATAAAAGGAATTATTTAAATTACAAACTAAGAATCTTTAAAATATTTTACTACTCTGGCCTTAGTGTTTAAATAAATCTAAAAAGAATAAAATAATGAGCAATTTTTGTTAAATGCATGATGTCAAATATAACTTAAAAAAACTATAAACCTTTTTTAAAACATAAATAATTGGTTGATTTTTATCTATTTTAATATCTGAATAATTAAAGTAAATAAAATTAATTACATGTATATAATTTGCAAAATTAGTTTATTTTATATCATATTATATTACATACCTAATTACTTGTATCTTTGATTATACAATCATCCAACTCTTCAGTTATGCCAGTAGAAGAATGGCTTGCATAATAAGTTTGTGAATCTTCACTTTCAAGAATTTCATTCAATTTTTTACTAGTATTTTTATCTGTTTTAATATTAAATAATAAATTAATTTCACAAAAATGATTTGCAAGATTAATTTTTATATATACTATATTACATACCTAATGACTTCAAATCTTTAATTATACAACTATTCAAATCTTCACTTTCAAGAATTTCATTCAATTTTTTACTAGTAAAATCAAGTATGCGACTTGTATAACAAGCCTGTGGATGAGATTCAGTAGTAAGAATGTTATGCCCAATTGGTGCATTTATAAATTCCATAATATTACATTTTAATTCTTTATCAATATCTTTAATTTTCTTGTTAGAAGGAAGACCAATCCATTTTATAATAGTTTTTAAAACTTCCTTAGAAGATGGCCTGTTTAATGGATCTTCATCCCAACATTTTTTCATTAAATCTACATAACATTGTGGAGTATTTTCAATAATTTCAGGACGTTCACCTTTACAAATACTTAAACTAAGTTGAATATCGTGTGCTCTATTGTTAAATGGTGGCGTACCAGATGTAAATTCCCACATAATCATAGAAAAACTATATATATCACTAGCTGGAGTATAAGATTTGCCTCTTAAAACTTCAGGTGCCATAAATGGTACAACACCATAAATATTATACTCTTTCAAAAATGATTTTACAGGCTGACATAATCCTAAATCACTAACATAAATTTTATCCTCATTATGATTTAAAATATTACCATCATGAAAATCACAATGAATAAGATTTTGTTCATGTATACTATTAAGTCCAGAAATAATTTCACACAACATATATAATTTTTGATCCCAATTATTTTTGATTATTCTTGTTAAGTTTCCTCTTAAATTACCTTTGTTTGCATAATCTATTACTACCATATATTTTAAAGTATCTGGATCTTTTGTAAATCCATAAAAATAAATAATTTCAATTGAATCTAAACATCTTTCATGATATTTCCACTATAAAAAATAATAATATATTAATATAAGTAAATTATAATTCAAATTGAAAAAAATAAATAATATACTATCATACTTCATTTAAAAATTCATTTAAATTTTCATTTAAATTATTATGACATTTAAGAATTACTTCTTTATTATCTTCATTATTTTTTAACCAAATAGCTTTGTATATAGTACCAAATCCTCCTTCATTAAGATATTCAACATTTTTAAATTTATTATAAGGAATCCATTTTAATCTTTTTTCAAGGATAAATTTATCTATAATTGTATTTCCACTTTTTCCAAATCTATAAATTTAAATAATTAAAGTTCATAATAAAATTGACACAAAATTTAAGATTAAAATTAACACTCACTCTAAAATTTAAATTGGAATTTAAGATAATATATGTCTTAGTTCTTGTACAAATATATATAATAATAATAAGCTATATTTCACAACTTACCAACTAAAGTAATAGAAATTTTAAATGAAAGAATACAGTTAACAAATAAATATAAAATATATAACAATAAAATTACAAATAACTTACAAGCTATATTATTAAATAATTTTTAAATAAAAATTTAGTTAGTTTAAATTATATGTAAATATTATCACAATAAGTAATAATAGAATTAAATAAATAACTTACCATCTAAAGGAAATTAAATAGTTAGTTTCAATTAAATGTAAATATTATAACAATAAGTAATAATAGAATTAAATAAATAACTTACCATCTATAAAATAATTTTTTTAAATAAAGAATTTAGTTAGTTTAAATTATATGTAAATATTATTATAATAAGTAATAATA